ACAGTTCAGGAAAGTCCTCAAGGACTCACCTTGCTTTTGGCTTCTGTAGTTCTGCTTCTTGCTAACTGACAACCAAGATGTGATTTTTGTGCATAAAAGACAAGAGGTTGTAAGGCTCAGAGATGCATGATTTAAACAAGTTCTCCATGCAGCCACTACCCAACAACACTACCTTTTCAGCTTAAAGAGCATCCTTGGGTGGTCTTTGATGGGCTTACCCAGCAACACTGCATCTCATGTCCTGGAGTCCTACATTGAGTGAAAAGGAGAAAGCCAATTGATCACCAGCTGTTCACTTTGTCTCTTCTTCCTGACTGTGGATGCAAAATGACCGCTGTCTCTCATGCCTGATGCTACAGCTTGACAGCTATGGTGACTGAGACCTCTAACTATGAGACAAAAGATATCCCCCTTCTTTAAATTGTTTTGTCATAACAGTGATGGGAGGACCTAATATACATGGCTTCTTGGGTTTTGATATCTTCCTGGAGCAAATATCACATGTATTTCTGCATATGCAGTTAAAAGTTGTAAAAATTAATAATTATTGTCATATTCATCACATGACTTTTAAAATCTGAATATATGAATCACAATTTATTATATGTACCAAAAGTTGGCATGAGTATGAAGTTGAGAATTGGATGGAAGATGATCATTATTATTAGTGTGGTGTTGATTAGGTATTGCTATATGTGATGAAAACTCAAAATTCCTTAGTAAAGATCAATAAAGCTCAAAGTACAGTTTATACCAATTCTTCTCACAGTATTCCATACAATAGAAGCAGCAGGGCCTTTGCCAAACTTTCTATGAGGCTTCAATAACCTTGATCCCCAAGCCACACAAAGACACAACTAAGAAAGAGAACTTCAGACCAATATCCCTCATGAACACTGATGCAAAAATACTCAAAAAATACTGGCAAATCAGATCCAAGAACATATCAAAACAACCATTCACCACGATCAAGTAGGTTTCATCCCAGGGATGCAGGGATGGTTCAACATACGAAAATCCACCAACGTATTCCACCATATAAACGAGCTGAAAAACAAAAATCACATGATCATCTCACTAGATGCTGAAAAAGCCTTTGACAAAATCAACACCCCTTCATGATAAAGGTCTTGGAGAGATCTGGGATAACAGGGACATACTTAAACATAATAAAAGCTATATACAGTAAACCAACAGCCAACATCAAGCTAAATGGACAGAAACTCAATGCAATTCCTCTAAAATCAGGAACAAAACAAGGCTGTCCACTCTCTCCATACCTTTTCAACATGGTACTTGAAGTTCTAGCCATTGCCATACGACAACTAAAGGGGATCAAGGGGATATAAATTGGGAAGGAAGAGGTCAAACTTTCACTGTTTGCAGATGATATGATAGTTTACATCAATGACCCAAAGAACTCTACCAGGGAATTCTTACAGCTGATTAACACCTTGAGCAAAGTGGCAGGCTACAAGATCAACTCAAGAAAATCAGTAGCCCTACTATATACAGATGATAAAAGGGCTGAGAAAGAAATCAGAGAAACATCACCCTTTACAATTGCCACAAACAACATTAAATACCTTGGGGTAACGCTAACCAAACAAGTGAAAGACCTGTATTGCAAGAACTTTGAATCTTTAAAGAAATAAATTAAAGAAGCCCTCAGAAAATGGAAAGATCTCCCATGCTCTTGGATAGGAAGGATCAATGTAGTAAAAATGGCAATCCTGCCAAAAGCAATCTACAGATTCAATGCAATCCCCATTAAAATCCCAGCACAATTCTTCACAGACCTTGAAAGAACAATAATCAATTTTGTATGGAAAAACAAAAGACCCAGGATAGCCAAAGTGACCCTGTTCAACAAGGCAACGTCCGGAGGCATCACCATCCCTGACCTCAAGCTCTATTATAGAGCTATAGCCCTGAAAACAGCTTGGTATTGGCACAAAAATAGACAGGTAGACCAATGGAATCGAATTGAAAACCTGGATATTAACCCACACACGTATGAACATCTGATCTTTGACAAAGAAGCTAAAAATATACAATGGAATAAAGAAAGCATCTTCAACAAATGGTGCTGGCATAACTGGAGGCTGGCATGTAGAAGAATGCGGATCGATCCATGTTTATCGCCATGCACAAAACTTAAGTCTAAATGGATCAAAGACCTTAACATAAATCCAGCTTCACTGAACCTCTTAGAAGAGAAAGTGGGTGGTACCCTTGAATGAATTGGTATAGGAGACAGCTTCCTGAACATAACAACAGTAGCACAGACAGTGAGATCAACAATGAATAAATGGGACCTCCTGAAACTGAGAAGCTTCTGTAAGGCAAAGGACACAGTCAGCAAGACAAAAAGGCAGCCCACAGAATGGGAAAAATATTCACTAATCCCACATCTGACAGAGGGCTGATCTCCAAAATTTACAAAGAACTCAAGAAGCAAGTCTCCCAAAACACCAAAGGATCCAATTAAAAAGTGGGCTACAGAACTAAATAGAGAATTTTCAATAGAGGAGTCTAAAATGGCTGAGAGGCACTTGAGAAAGTGCTCAACATCCTTAGCCATCCAGGAAATGCAAATCAAAACAACTCTGAGATACCATCTCACTCCTGTTAGAATGGCTAAAATCAAAAACACCAATGACAATTTATGCTGGAGAGGATGTGGTGAAAGGGGGACACTCTTCCATTGCTGGTGGGAGTGCCAACTTTTTCAGCCACTTGGGAAATCAGTCTGCAGATTCCTCAGAAAAATGGGAATAAACCTACCACAAGACCCAGCAACTCCACTCTTAGGCATATATCCTAAAGATGCCCATTCATACAACAAGGATGTCTGTTCCAGTATGTTCATAACAGCATTATTTGTAATAGCCAGAACTTGGAAGCAACCTAGATGCCCCTCAACCGAAGAGTGGATAGAGAAAATGTGGTACATTTACACAATGGAGTACTATTCAGCAGAAAAAAACAATGGAATCCTGAGATTCGCAGGCAAATGGATGACACTAGAAGAAACCATCCTGAGTGAGGTAACACAGTCATAAAAAGAGAAACATGGCCTGTACTCTCTCATATATGGATTTTAGACATAGATCTGGGGAGTGCCACCCTACAATCCCATGGCCAGAGAGTCTGGGAAACAGAAACTTCATTCAGTGGCTGATGGAAGAAGAGGCAGACTCCCATGGCTAAGCACTGAGCTGAACTCAAGAAAGCCAATAACAGAGAGGGAGGACTGATGACCAAAGGGATTAAGACTGGGTTGGTTTAACCCCCAGAAACAGCTGACCTGACAAAGGTTAACTTTGAATCCCAGGCATCAGCCTGGGAATCCAGCATGGGACTGATCAAGACCCCCTGAATGTGGGTGTCAGTGATGAGGCCTAGGTAATCTATTGAGCCTTGGGCAGTAGATCAGTACTCATCTCGAGTATACACACGGACTTTGGACTCCCATCCAACAATGTGAGATTACTCTCACCCTGAACTCTTGGGGGAGGGTCTAGGCCCTGCCCTGGATGAAATGACAGACTATGGACACCCCCATGGAGGGCCTCGCCCTCCCTGGGGAAATGAGGGGGTAATGGGGGGGTTGGGGGAGGGCACGGGAAGAGGGGAGGGAAAGGGAGAGGGACCTGGAACTGACTTGTGAAGCAACCTTGTTTCTAATCTAAATAAATTTAAAAATAAATAATAAAGAAAAATAAAAAATAAAATAGTTTCTCTCAGAAAAGAAAAAAAAAGATCAATAAAGCTTATCTAAAAAGGAAATGAAGGATTAGGTAGAAAAAGAAACTTGGAATTTGTATTAATGCTTCTTTGACCACACACCACCTTTAATTTGATTTTATGATCAGAAGTCCCACTGAGGAACATATGGTTCACCAGGAAGTTGGAGACCTAACCTTATCCCACAAACTTCCTTGGCAGCATGCCAGACACCGTTTCTCACAGTAGCTAAAAACTGAGGTTTCTCTCTGTGTATTTATTTTATGTGAATCTCAATCTTGTGATATTTATCCCACACAAAGTCAGATTTCTTCCCTTCTGACCCTAATGTAGCATGTCTGCCCTCCAGGTCACTTCATTTTTCAGAATGTGAAAGGAACAAGAAAGCAGTATGCTGTCAGTTATCCCATATCGACAGAAAGCTGGTTTTTGTTCATTATAGCCTGTTCCTTACTGAGACTAGCATATAACTTAGGTAAGTGAAACATCCCCATTAGTGCTTCACATAGAACTTCAGTTTAGACAGAATTTGCCTTCTTGCTCTATTCAAAGGTTTGGACACCTAGCCAGTGTAGCAGTATTTCTGTATTTATTGAATCATTAATACACCCTCATTTTAGACTGATAAGAACAGATACTACACTTGATTTTAGCCATAAGGCTGAGAAGCAATGCTCACATTTTTAGTAGTTAGCTTTCTACTGATGGAAAATTTCATATATGTGATCAGTTTTTCACAAGGATATCAGTTACATATAGTAATATTTTCCTCTGCTGCTACATATTTCTCATTGTATTAGACAGAACAAAATTTTGGGTTTCTGGAATTTCTGTGCTTTCCAAACTATCAGAACTAAATGATCTATATATTATCTGTCCTGAGAAGTCAAGTTTATCCTCCTTGTCTTTATTTCTAATTATTCTTAATTACTCTGTTTTATACATATTTTAAATTTGTAAGCTACAGTTCTCTTTGGTCATACTTGGGTTATACCTGTAAGCAAGCCTTCTAACTTGATTTAAACTATTATGCATGACTTTGTTTTTGAAAGCACAGGCTTTGTCCTTTCATAACGCAACGATGAACCCCATGAAAGCAATATTGGGCCCTCAGTGAGAGCACAGAACCTTCTGTGTTACTCAGTTATCATGGACTCACTCATTATTGAATTTAAATTGAACACTAAAAACGTCTTTTAGGAAATATATAGTACCTATTTTTAAAGTTGGTGTTGTTGGTGTTTTTTCAGAAAGGCCAGAGAAGAGCTACTGAAAACTCAGAAGGAACGGGACTTCCATCGCATGCATCATAAGCGCATAGTGCAAGAAAAGAACAAACTGATTGCTGACCTCAAAGGGTGAGACACCCATGTCTGTTGAAAATCATTTTAGTTATTGAGATCTGACTACAGGACGACTGATTAAATAAATTTGTCCTGTTAAGTTTATTGGATAGGAAGGTTAGGCCCTTGCATTGAAGGAATGTTCTCATTATTGGATCATGTAACTGAGAAGTTAAATATATAAGAAAATGGACTCTACTGTTACTTTGTCCTCAAGACACAGTCTCAGTAAGACCGGTGTGAGAAAAGGGTTCAAGGGTGTATTTTCAGTGGGTTGAAGTCTGAAGAGTGGATAAGCTGGTAGAGTGGTATCCTCAGGCTGCCCTTGTGAGACAGTGTACTCTATGCGACAGAAGCAAGTCATTAAGGAAAATAGAATGTTCACCAGATGAACCATGGAGGACAAGGAACAGACAGAGCTTTGGTGAGATAGGAGGCAGAGCCTGAATTTATAAGAGCAACTTTAGAAGCAATTTTGGAGGCATTATTCAGATGTACTCTCCCTCCTTCATTACCTGACTTCAATTCTTTTCCTATGAAACAAGAAATCAGTTTTATAACTGTTAAATAAAATTGTCTTTTGTTTACTATAATACCATCCAACAAAACTTTCTGTGGTGACATGGATATTATAAATATGTGATATCCAATGTAAACACTAGGTATTTATATTTAAATAAATATCGTATCCACTAAATATGCAATAAAAAAGGATATACTGTACTAGCAAATTTTTTTATTTTTCTCATTTTTTAATTTTTTGATTTCATGTTATATTCCAACCACAGTTGTCCCTCCCAACCCCCTCATCCCCTCCCACCCTCCAACCTTCCCACTAGCCCACTCCTAGTCCACTCCTCACAGGTAAGGGCTCCCATGAGGAGTCAACATAGCCTGTCACAATAGGTTGGGGCAGGGCCAGGCTCCTCTTCCATGCATTAAGACTTATCATGACATCCCACCATAAGGAATGGGCTCCAACAACTAGCTCATGTACTGGGATTATATGTTGGTTCTACTGGCACTGAGCATGGCATCCCACCCTCAGGAATGGGCTCCAACAAGGTAGCTCATGTACCAGGTTTGTATAATGGTCCTACTGCCAGGGTCCCTTCTGATAGTCCAAGCTTCTAGCTATTTTTTAACAGTGCTATTATATAATACCTGGCAAGAAGCAATTTAAGAGCATATTCTGGCTTCCAGATACAGGTATACATGTCATCATGGCAGGGCAGGAATGCAAATGGGTGGGACACTGACTGGTCACATTCATCTGCTGTCAGAAAGTAGAGAGTGAACAGGAAGTGGGGTCAGGCTGTATAGCCTCCAGACCTGTACTAGAGACTAACTTTTCCTAGTAAGATTTTACCTCCTGGTTTTCTAGGATGTAAGGAGTACTGTATTTTGAAAAATATTTAGTATTCATGGATCTGAGCCATTAACTCTGAAACTTGGAGTCTATATATTTTACTTCATATAAATTATTCTTCAGTAAAAATTAAAGCATAGTTTGAAGGCATTTTCCAATCAAACAAATTTGTAAAGGTATTTATATCATATATAAAGGAGTATTATCTTCAGTGAGACATTAAACTATGTTTAGAGTGCTGCACTTCCAGAGGACTCTAGTGACATTCTCAGGACCCACATCAAGTAGCTTCTAAGTACTAGTAGCTTCCGCTCCAGAGGATCTGACACCCTCTTCTGGTCACTTTGGCCATGTGCACACATGTAGCAATCAGTCACACGGACACACAGATACTTAAATTAAAAGAAATGTTTATACACTTAATGTTCTTAATATTAGATCAATCAAATATGTTTTAAAGACCATCTTTCATTTTGGTATAAATGAAACTTCTGTTTCCTGGTTTAATCACCTATTTATGTCCCTTGCTTTCTTGATAATTGTTTTTAATTGATATAAGGATATTTATTTAATTTCTTAAAAATTAGATTTCAGTTTTGTGAAAAAAAGTCTCATGCATCTCCAACTGGCCTTGGACTCACTATTTGGCTGAGACTGGCCTTGAGCTCCTGATCCTCCTGCCTCACCTCCTGAGTGTTGGGATACAGACATATAGTACAATTCTGCCTGGCAATATATATTTTATAAATTTCGAAGAACTATAGCAGTCTTCTGAGTATATACTAGAATACACTAAAAATGTTGCTGGAATGGGAAATTAGGTAAAGAAAGTATGGTTTCCTGTCCTGTACTTATCCCTCACCGAGGAAGATTGAAATTACACAGGAAATAACACTTCTGTGCTTGGCTTTGGCATGTTGACCTTTATGTAGCTACTCATTTTTATTCATAAGCACACAAAGATGGAATGGAAGAAGAAAAAGGATTTTAGATGGTAGATGAAAATCACTGATGTAACTGTTTTACCTTTTCACTTTTGTAGGCTAAAATTGCATTATGCATCTTACGAACCAACTATTAGGGTTTTACATGAGAAGCACCACGCTTTACTGAAGGAGAAAATGCTGACCTCCTTGGAAAGAGACCAAGCTGTTGGGAAGGTAAGAAAAGGGGCAGTGAAGTCCACCTTGAAGCAATTCTTAATCATTTGTTTATTGTGCATGAGACTGTATATGTATACATATGTTTGCTTGTGTGGATGGGTGTGTGTCCACAAGGGTGTGCATGCATATGGAGGCCAGAGGACATCATGTTTTATTTGCAGACATGCTGACTACCTCCTTTGAGACAGGTCTCTTATTGACTGGAGCTCACCATTTATGTTAAACTAGTTGATCAGGCATTCCTGTCTCTATACCCCTAGTGCTGAAATTACAAGTACTTACCACTGTACTGGACATCTTTATGGGGAGGATCACCTCAAGTTTTTGGGGCAAGCAGTTTGAAACTGGGCTGTTGCTCCAACCTTTAGTCATTCATTTTTGTATGAGTACCTTAATGGTTTCATATTCTGAGATGAGTTTTAAAACATTGCCCAGAATTTTGTATGTAAAAATTTATTTGGAAACATGAAGAAAAAGTATCTTGTCTATTAAAAACCTATGATGGTTATTTATTATTTAATTAATTAACATATAACTTAAACATGAACTAATGGATTATTAAAGTACAGTTAGAAGAAAATACTCAGCCATCATAGTTAAACAACAACAACTTGGGTCTAAATGCTAGCTATTCACATCAGCATCCAGCAAGTTACTTAGGTAATAGACACATAGAATTTGAGTGTGTCAGCTAGCCTGGTTTTGTATGCTCCAAGGACCTAAAATGTTGTACACCCACAATCATCAAAGATTGACTTGGGACAGTTGCTCTGAGTTTGCTGTATCCTAGCAATTGGGCTTAAGGATATTCTCTCATGTGAGTATGCAAAGGAGAAGTAAGTCTTATTTATCAAGAGCTATTATAGAATAGTAAGAAGTTGAGAGAGATTTCTAGAAACTCTCAGAGAAGACAGGATTTCCAGGGGAGGAAAGAATCCATTGAATTTCTTTTGTCCATAATTTTTATATGATGTTAGCAGAGACTGATGTACTCTACTGAGTTTGGTTAATTCTCTGGCTTGTCATAGGCCAACCCAGTGAAGAGCCCACAAGCTCTATGTATGTTCCACTGGGCTAACCAGGGAATGGTTATGTGCTACTTAAGAGCTGTTTATCCCTTTAGCTTCTCAGTGAAGAGCACCTCTATTCATCTTGGATTTTGGCTTTAGTAACTGAACTTGACTGTCTGATAGTTTTTGGTTACTTGGCCAATTTTTTTACCTTAGTCCTTGGGTGTGTCTCACTAACTGTTAATTATGCTGACTTCTCTGGCTTTGTTAGTTGGTGATGTTGACTGTCAGTCTACTAGTCATTAGTCATTGATTGGTGTTGCTGTGTCTGTCTTTGAAGGTGTCCTACATGTTAATTGTATGAAGCTCTTTTGGTTCTCACAGCTACCAGGAAGTAGCTGCATTGTTCTTGGCTATGGAATAATGTAGGTCTCATTCCTGAATGTGTCAGGCTCATTAGAAGCCATCCTCACTTACAACTTAGTCTGTTAGAACAGCTGTGTTAAAAGCAAGTTATTAAAAGCAAGAATGCATAATAAACAATAGTGCCTACCACAAGTTCCCCAGGTTGGAAAGGTTTCATGGAAGTTAGCCAGCTGGCCCATTGTCACTGAACTGTTTGTCTCTCATCAGGCTACTTGGCTATCTCATGTCTAGCCGTAAGACCTCTTATTTATCTTTCTTAGTTCTCCACAGTTAGCGTTTTTTTTTAAACCCTAATCTTTCCTTTAACTTCATTCTCTGCTTTCACTGTAAGATATGTGAGCAGTTTGTACCCCAAGTCATTTCACTTACTACCTTTAGAGTAGTGGTTCTCAACCTGTAGGTTGAGACCCCTTTGGGGGAGGGTCCAATAACCCTTTCATAGGGGTGAACTATCAGATATCTTGTATATTGGGCACTTACGTTAATATTCATAGCCGTAGCAAAATTACAGTTGTGAAATAGCAATGAGAATAATTTTATGTGCGGGTTACCATAACCTGAGGAACTGTTTTAAAGGTCCTAGCATTAGTAAGGTTGAGAACCTCTGCTCTAGAGCCCATAGAGATCAGAGATAGTGTTAATAAATGGCAGTCATAAAAGTAACATTGTGGTGAAAATGAGATAAATGAGTGAAAATCCTTTGGAAATTATTCCCACATATATAGTTGGTGCTCTTACTTCTGGCTGGATTTTCTTCTTTTATACTGAGTGACTTGAAGTGGTTTTTTTTTAATTTTTTTAAAATTGGCCTAGGGATTTGGAGAAAGTTTGTTGGCATAGAATCTAAGAAAAAGAAAGCAAAAATGTTGACATGCCACAGTAAAATACGTAACAGTTTGTTAAAGAATGTATGACTGTGACTATGCTTAATATTCTTTTGTTGTTTTCTGCACATCCTTTTTGATTTCTGCCTAAACTCAGAAGTTACAAAAGCTTTCATGATGGTAATACAATTCCTATATTATTAAGATGTCTTAAAATGTTTATTTTTGTCTCTTCATTGAAATTCTTAGCCATTAAAATATAAAACATCACTGTTTCAGTGCCTTTTGTACTTGAATTTTAATTTTGTGTCCTTGAATGTTTAAATTATATTGTAATATTAAATGAAATAAATATTCTAATTCTCTAAATTTTTACCACATTTATTTCAAACTCTAAAAGTTTGATCTCCCTCATTTTCTTTTTCACCTAAACAGTGATAAGTATTAGTTATGTTTCTCATTGCTTTGACAAGACTTTGACAATGCTTGAGAAAAGAAAACTAAGGAAGGAGGAGCTCACAGTTTGAGGACACAGCCCATCATGGCAGGGACAATCATGGTACAGGAGTGTGAGATAGCTGTTAACATGGGATCCACAGTCAGGAAGCTGAGAGACTTGACTGCTCTTCTCAGCTTGCTTCTTCATTTTGATTCAGTCAAGGATCAGGGCCCCTGGAGTGGTGTTGCCTGTATACATTCAAGGTTTGTCTCCTTCTCAGTTCACTCTGTCATTGCCTTTACAGAGCTGTTCAGAAGTGTGCTTCTGTAGTGATTGTAAATCCAATTAAGTTGACAGTGAACGTTAATGCTCTCAACTTGCTTACACTCTCCCTGGGTTGCGTTCTAATTCTGTAACATGAGCAGACTTGGCTCTGCCATTCAGTCCATGGTGTGACTATGACTAAGATATATGCCTGGAAGCACTCTTCTGTCTCTGTCCATCACTCCAGTTCCAGGTGATTTCATGATGCTTCCTTAAGTTGGCCAAAGGCCATGTTGAGGACATTTGGGACACACATGCAATCTTTGGATTTCAGGCTTTGTTACTGCTTTATTAGAAAAAGATAAGAATTGGGAGTCATCTTGTGAATCTTAGTAGTCTGCAGTTTAGTCGTGAACCATTCAGTCTTTTATATTTTCTTCTGTTTTCTTCCATATTAAACAGGCATGAATTACTTTCCTTTAGGACCAATATGTTGTGAAGTAAGTCAGGTTTTAATTTTATATACTACAACACAGATGTACAGCAAACTGTTGTTACTATGGGAAACTGGTTTTATTTGTCTTTCAACCCATATTACTGCTCAAGACAAAAGACCACCTGGATTCTTCTGGGTTAAAGCAGCCTCTTAATATTAGCACAGGTTGTGTAAAAGAGATGGTAACTGCTTAGCAGAAATTAATTTTCTGTTAAGTTTCTTCATTATTATGGGTCAGAAGGCCATACACACAAACACACACACACACACACACACACGTTGTAAGGTCCATATGCATTCTCTGTCTATGCTTTCTTACATTTTATATCAGGCACATCACTTTTGGTGATAATATACTTTGTTCCAAGTGGTTCTTTTGAATGCAAACCATTGAAGCTTGCTAACCCCATGTCCTCTGCTCTAGCAGCTGTGAGCATTTTAGCAAGGGTATCATGTTGGACTTATGTTCCTGGTCTGGTATTTTAAATGTTAACATTCCTGGGAGTGGAGAGATAGCTTAGTAGTTAAGAACACTTATTATTTTTGTAGGACTCCCAGAACCCATGTGGTAGTTAATAAACATCCATTACTCAAGTTTCAGGGGATTTGATGTCTTTTCTGTTTTGCATGAGTACCAGGCACATACATGGTATACATGCATTCAAGCAAAACTGCTCATACACAACAAATAAGCCTGAAATAAAATTATTTAAATTTTAATGATTCTATGTGCCTCTACTGAAGTATGAAGAGGTTTGGATGTAGAGTTTTTAAGCACTACCTGAAAGACCCTATATTTTTTAGAGTAATACAAAATGTGAAATATCTGTAAAGTATATCAGTGTTCAAGGTTGCTCCCTGAGGTAGTAGGAGTGCATGTATTGTATTTGAAGAAATTTCAAATTTCCTGATTTGTTTGTTCCTTGCTTCAAGTTCTTTCTCATGTTCTCATGCCTGACCTCTGATTTCTCCTTTGTTGGGCTCTCTCTCTTTGTATATCATTGTTCTGTTCTGTTGTAGGGGCTATGTTTCTGTACTGTTATACACCTAAAGCCATTCTGTGCCTCCATTTGCCTCACAATCTTCACACCTGTGCTTACAGAGTAATTTCAATGCCTTTTCATGATTTTAAAAAAGAATACAGATTTGGAAAATACATACTGTTAGAAAATACTAGAGTTTATTTCTTGGTATTGAAAATGGAGCTGTTAGATTTTAGAAATAGATTTATTCTCTCAGTTCATCTGCTTTTCAGAGTTGTGGACTCATTAGAGTTTGAAAAAGTCACATTTGCATAGATTCACCAAGAACAAAACTGATCCTGGGCACCTGATGGCTTTTCAGGATTGTCTTACAGATATACAGTGCAAATGGGATGTAAAATCCTACATCCTTCAAATAAGTTCTGTATTATACATGATTACTCATACCATCAAATTTTATCTAAACTTAAAATAGGTCAAATGATTAAGCTTATACAATAATGTCAGTAAACAGGTCTAGGAAAAATTGTCTGAGTATATATTGTCCATACTAAG